GAACGTCCTCTTGGGGCTCATCAGGGGGCGGAGAGGCCCGGCAGCGGCGGAGACGTCAGGGGAAAATTCTGCCAGCTGGTTCACCAGGCCCATGAAAGACCTGAGATCCGTAAGGTTGGCAGGTTTCGCAAAGTCCGCTATGGAGCGAACTTTCTCCGGGTCCGCAGCAATGCCATCCCTCGAGAGTCGGTAGCCGCAGAAAGACACTGCAGGTGCGGCCAAGATGAACTTCTCGGCATTCAGAGTGATGCCGTGCGTCCTACACCTGGTCAGTACCTCGTCGATGCGGCGAAGATGCGTCAGGTAGTCCTCATCGTAAAGGAGGACGTCGTCCACTACCTTCACGCAGTTGGTCACGCCTTGAAGTGCCATGTCACCACGGAGACAGAAGGCGTCCCCCGTAGCAGCGAATCCCATAGGGCCACGGCAGTAGCGGAAGCGTCCGTAAGGCGTGATGAAAGTGGTCAGTGGCTGATCCTCCTTCTTCAGTGGGATCTGCCAGTAACCACAGAGGGCGTCCATCGTCGAGAAGTGCCGTACCTTCGGATCCACACTCCGTATAGCTGCAAAAGGTGTGGGTGAAGGGTGGGCGGGACGGGACACCTGGCTGTTAAGCTTAGACAAGTCGGTAGTAATCCGCACTCCACCGTTAGTCTTAGCCACAGCGACTAGAGGGTGGCACCAAGGGGATGGGTCGTCACCAACGGGTACGATGACACCCTGGGCCACCATGGAATCCAGTTCCTTCTTGACTGAATCCCTGAAGGCGAGAGGAATCAACCGGGGAGTGTGTATGGCAAACGGCTGTGCATCTTCCCGCAGGTGTATCCTCATAGGCGGACCCGCCATAGCCTTCAGTGGCGCGGTCCGTAGGGCCTCCTTCGTCACCAGCACATCCGAGTACTCCTTCAGGAAGTAGGCCCTTGCGGCTGAAGGAGACGTCTCGCTGTGAAGAGGAAGCAGCCGTGACTTGGGTGGAGGCGGGGAGGGAGTGGACGCGGGTTCTGGGCAGCTCTGTGTGGCAGCGCCAGGCGCGTCGCTCGTCGACTCACGCACCCTGCTGGCGGTGTAACGAGCAGCTGGGATCTGCTCGGGAAAGTCTCTGGGCACCACGCCTAACTCCTTGCAGTGCTCCCACGACAACAAGGGTGTAGCGAGAGTAGGCTGCACGTCGATCCATCCGTGACACGACCTGTCGCCGTAGGTGATCTCTGCTTGAAAGGAGCCCACAGCGTCCGGCATCTGGGAACCGTCCGCATTGTAGCACTGCAGCTGCGGCGGTGGTCCCAGGGCGCGTTTGGTGAGGCCCAGTTTCTGGAGGTGCTTCAGCCCAATCACCGTAGTATCGGCGCCGGTGTCCGGTATCACCTCGATGTGACCCGACACATCACCGTGTGTGACGGCGACGCGGATAGTAGGGGAAGGGGTAGCCCTGGGGCGTGTGGTCGATTCCACCCTCCTGATGTGACTCCGCTGCTGCTTGGGGCTGCGTGGGCCATCTGGAGGGGGCTGCGTGCGAACCACCCCGAGGGAAGTGCGCTGCTGTCCTCCTCGTCTCGGGCTTTTGGGCTTGGGTTGACGGCAGCACTTGTCGTAGTGTCCATAGCGACCACAGGCCTGACACTTGCGGCCTAGTGCAGGGCACCTGTCTGTGTTAGACCAGTGGCCCTTACGGTCACATCCACGACACAGTGCGTCGGCGGCCGGGCAAGTCTTGGGGCTGTGCTGCTTTCAACAGCTGCCACAGGAAGCACTAGGCGGAGGCGTGGAAGAACGTGTGGCAGCCTTCGCGTTGTTGGCCGCCTTCTTATCCTTCTTATATTGTGAGATAGCTCTCACAGCAGGTGGGGCCCGTAAGGCAGAGGTGGCGGACATGGTGGCCTCGTATGACCGACATTCAGTCACTACCACCTGGATTGTGGAGGAAGCGTCCAGGGGGATGAGTCGCTGCACCAACTCTTCCTGCCTGACACCTGCCAAGATCCCGTGCTTGATCCAGGCTTCCTCACATTCCCGGCTGTGCGCCTTGCAGATGTCGATCTCCTCTGACAAACTCTTCAAGCGTACAAAAAAGTCGTCAAAGGATTCGTTCTCCGCCTGCTTGCAGCTGGTGAAGGCACGGCGACGCAAAGCCTCGTTGTTCCGACCCTTAACATGCTCCTGTAAAAGGTCGAGCACATCCGTCACTGAAGAGGTAGAATCGGGAGGCACTTGCAACGTGTGCTCCAAAACTCTCTGGGTCTCCAGCGACAAACACATCCGCAGTTGGATGAGCTGTTTGTTTGGAGGCATGCTGTCAAGGTCCACCATCGTGGAGTAATCTGTCCAACGCCGCCTCCACTCACGAAAAAGCTGAAACGTGACGTCTGGTGAGAGGGCGGGTGGGGGTTGAACAGATGCCTTGGGAGCTGTTGGGGTAGCAAGAGTACCTGGAGGACGCTGGTGTGGTGGAGGAGGGAGGGTACTGGCGCCTATATGCGCGCTACCTGCGAGTGAGGGAGGGTGGGTTAGCGCCAGGGTCGCCAATAGTGCCTCAAAACGCATCTTTTCCTCCTCTCTTCGTGTCTCCTCCCTCTGAAGTTCCATTTCTCTACGTCGCTCGTCCCGGTCGTCCATCCACCTCAGAATTGTGGCAATGTCCATCACTGGAGGTGGAGGATGAGAGTCTGCGCCCGGTGGAGGGGAAGGTGGTGGGGAGTCGTGTCTCCCATCTTGACGTTGTCCCTTCTTACCTCCCATCTTTGTGTGTGCGTGGACTGCACTGTTTAATATATAAAGTGGCGCCTCAACAGCTCGAACCACATATATATGACATAAACAGCGCAGAAATCACGCATATGGTCCAGGTCCACTGTTCTGTCCGTGAGTGAGTGCGTGCGTGCGTGTGTGTGTCTGAGAGAGCGGAGGGAGCGTGGTCCGGCAAGACCGTCAGTGTCCCCCGGATGTCGCACGAGAAGGGTGTGCGCCTGCGTGCTCCGTGGGTACCACAAAAAACAGGCCAATGCTCAACTCTCAGCTCTAGACACACACTAATACACTGACACTAACACTGCCACCGTCACTAAAACGCACTGTGACGGCGCAACACTGCACATCGCGGCGAAACACAGCGCAACACAACACAACACACTATGAGTCGACGCGCATCACCGGCAGACGTAACTGTCGGCATTGTTCACACACTTTGTAAGTCCACAGATCCTAGACACTGCGCCATGAAAGTTACTAGTGTGCCCTGAAGAATGCAGTGATGGCTAGGGAAACACTGAGTAACACTGAGTCCGTTTATTATGGATGAGAGAAATACAAGTGGTGACTCGCGTGTGCCATGCACGGCTCACACAGTCAGACTAAGGCTGCCTTGCCATATGGCAGCCTCGGGGCAATGTTGCCACATAACGTGCAGTGTTGCCACGTGATGATATATATAAATGCTACTCGGCACAGTAGCTTATATACAGGGTTGCTACTCGGCACAGTAGCTTATATACAGGGTTGCTACTCGGCACAGTAGCTTATATACAGGGTTGCTACTCGGCACAGTAGCTTATATACATAACCTACAGCTTTAACGCCTCTCTACCTCAACATAAGTTATCAAGCAACTTAGCAATACTGTACATTGAAAAGAATTAACAACCAAGAAAATTCACAAACCATACTCTTACTTACGCATACTGTGGTATGTAGATCGAATCTGAGCTAAGATTCCATCTCCTAGAATTGGGAAAAAAGAAAAAAATACAAATTTAGAACAAGATCTATTCAAACAATCGTTGAGAAAAAATCCACAGTGAAACCAAGACTTGTAACTGATTGGGAATTCAAACAAGACAACAGGCCACTACCCCAACTACTAGGAGGCTCTGCTGATATTCTCAAGTCCAGGAAAGAAGCAGAGGTTCTGTATTCATATTGGTTACAAAGCTAGTTTTCTGTCGCTATTGGGAAATATTTTCTCCAAAGTAACGGGACACAAGGGTGCAGCAGGCCCAAATTGTGAAAGATTATGAACAAGTCTCTGGATGGTATACTATGAGCGAGTCTCTGGATTATACACTGTTAAGAGTTGCCGCTGACATTTCTAGCGTCTCACACAAGTGTCATAAAAGTCCAGAATTTGGGTTCCTGATCACCGGGACGAAGAACTTGTAAACAGTATACAGACATAACGTACTCCTGCATCGGTGTCTCTTTACAAACGGCACTTTATCTGCAGTTTACCCGTACACAGTCTAGTACATTGTTTGGTCATGCAAAGAATCCAGGGAGACAAAAGAAGCTGGATAATGTGGCACTGAGGCAACAATTAAAAGAGTGAGGGACGAGGAGGGGGGACTAGTCAAGCAAGAGGCAGAGGTACTCAGGCAACGGATTTGAAAACAAAAATATCAAAACAAATTGTAAAAAGAAACGCAACTGGTGGAAAACAGATTCACGAATGACAGGAAATGCTCTCAAAAGTTATTATTGCTGTTGTGTTTCAGCTAACTATACACTAATACAGTATGTAAAAAAAAAAAAGGGCAAATGGCTCAAAAATTATTTCCGTACACTACAGAAGAAAAAAATCACTTCTCTGTACCCGCTAAAGGTGAGAAAACAAATACAGTATATTACAGGAGGTAAAGAACACATCCTCTGTATTTTATTCATGTTACAGCAATCCCTTTAAAATGAAGCAGACACAAATTCTGAACACAGGCTCATTTTTTTATTCAAGTACCATAAATAATTACTGTATGTTACAGGAACCTGAAAATTGATAGGATGTTCTTCACAATGATCAGACATTACTGATCTTTAGCTTCCTGTTTATTACACATCCTAAAAGAATAATCTTATAAAACAATGAGCCTGTTTATAAATACTTCTGCCACAGTAACTTTTCTCTGTATATGGGAAAAGTCAACACAAACTGGTACCTGGAAAGAGAACCGAGTTATGATCCGGTAATGAGAAAATCCATACAGTGAAGAATTAACCAAAGAAAATCTTACCGCCTCGTAGGTCAAGGGAGGCGGCATGACCGTCTTCTCCATCGTGGTCGTGACAATCTTCCACAGTTCCTTCGGGAGTCTCTTCAGCACTGTCTTCTCACAGGACTGGCCTTAAAGAGTGAGGGAGACCTCCAGCAAGTCCATCGAGGACACTAATACGTCGTCGGCCTCGACTTCGTTGCGTTGTGACGGCTGCACCTGGCTCGTGCCCTTCGCTGCTGCCAGTTTGTTGCCCATTTCTTACAGCAATTGACCCTTCAAGCTGAATGAGGAATAAGAAAGTGCATTTATTGTAATGGAGGTTGATGAGCTGTGATCTTATTGAAGCTGAAAATTCCTAAACTGTACAAGTGACCTTGGATCTATTAAATTAATAATAGTAATATATTGAACACTATTTATTAATGATGTACACTCACTACAAACAATATTATGATTTTGTGTGAGACAATATAACAACAGGAATCGCCACTTTCATTTTGAAATTCGTCCGGTCCCTCTGTAAAGTGGCCTATTGGAGCGAGTGTACAGTACATAAAACTGCTCCCTGACTAGTACTGAGAGACTTCATCGACAGTAAACACAGGATTAATGTAAGATGTTTGGTTATAAAATGTTCAATAAAACTTTAGTGTACAGGCAGCTGGACTAGGAGAGAACACTATACCACACTGATTGGTTTAGGTCAGGGGAACAGCAAACATGGTATACAACTTACCTCTTGGTAAACTGTGTTGAGTACCATGCAGCTCACCGAGGATGGTGGCCACGTCTTCCTCTATATGGGTTCCTGCCGCCCATCTTCTCCAGCTGAACTCTTTAATTGTTGGATGTTGTTCATGAGGATACAGGCCTAGGTACAGAATGAAAAAAAAAACAACAACACTGGAATGATGAATTTATGATGATGTGAGAAGGGGGGGAATTTTGTTTGTTATTATTGCACTTCAACAGTTAAGGTCTTTAAGTGCATAACAAGGTGAATAATTATACTATTCCAACAATATTTAATATAATTATGAGGTAAAACAGAGGGTAACGTCTCGGTACAAGATGATGTTTTTACGGAAAAGAATCATCTCTGGCAAAGTTCTCAATACAAGTTAATTGATGTTTTCCTTAAGGAGGACAATGAAAAGTTCATCAGCATAAAATTAAGATCAAGTTAAGATTAGATACTGCAGCTTATTTCACCTGATGATTAAATACCCTAACACAGTGTAGTATCTTACATGAGAAGCCACATGATGACTCAGATGGTTTATTGTTGTGGTGCCTAACACAGGCCTAAACACATTCTAACTTTGGTAAGAAGTAACATAATATATAATGTATATATATAATGGCAGCATATAAACATATATAACAACTAGCTGAGTGGGGCAGGGTTAGGAATCATCAATGTTTTATGGCCATTTTTCCATGCTTGTGTGGGTTTACCATGGGTGCTGGATGACAGCTGGTTAATAATAAACTGGGTGATCTCATCTTCACTTGATTGTACAATTTTTAGTGTGTATTATATAGGACAGAGTAAAATGAATGACAGTATTATCTGGTCGGTCGTAAAGTTACCAAATTATTAGAATAACGTAAAAAAAATGGCCACAACGCCTAATTGAGGAAAATGTATATATACAGAGTTCAAATGATAACTGATAAACATGCAAATGGATAGACTGATACACAGACTATAAAATATATCCAAGTCCTCCTAACACTGACCTTTTTCTCATCACCGACATAATTAGTAAATTCTTTCTTGCCAATATCAGCATAGGCTAAGAGCACCTTGACTATTGTCTTGGCAAATATCTTGATGAATCTTTTTCTGATCTCAGGGTCTGGACACTGGAGCTTAGAGACAACACCGAGTCAGCCGAGTGAAGACGTCTACCACGGAGTTGGAGAAGAGGGAACTCTCGGAGCCGACCGGGAACTGACGGAAGAAAGAAGGTACAGGTACTGTAATTTGAGAATTTTTTACATTATACAGTCATGCGCTGGTTAACTTCCGACCGAACAACGTCCGATCGCATATACGTCCGTGGCCCCCCCCCTCCCCCCCAAAAAAAAATCCGTGAAAAATCCGTGACGCCTGCTGGACCACCACTCCACGACCCCCTGACGGAGACACGATGATCCTCCCCATACTGGTCAGATATTATGTGTTAAAGGAATGTGCTTCCTTCCTTAGGCTTTTTTTAAGCATTTGCCTCCAGGTGTAATGTTAACCTACATCAATTGAGGATAAAATCTTTCACTTACAAATTGACAATAACACATTTGCTGTAATCAGAGATATCTAGTTGCCTCAACAATTGCAACCCCAGTTGCAATTGGGGTTGCAATTTCAAATTCTGTGGCATCACTAAGAATAACAAAGTCTCTGGTGCACTCTAAGATTAAGAGAGAAAACGGAGGACTCAGGCGTCCTGATGTGAGAGAAAACAGACTCGTATGATGGGGGACCAAATAGCCATGTTTGTGTGTGTTTATGATATTTACCACAACATTATATATATATATTTAGTGGGTCTAAATGGTGGTAAAATGGGAAACTTGGGGTTGGGTCTTGGGTGCCTGGAACCAATTAGAATAAATCCCATAGGTTCTGTACTTTCGTTATCGGCGGGGTCCCAATTAGGCGCGATAACCAAGGGATGACTGTACTGTACTGTATATACTTGTGACACTTGCCAGTTGCTTCTGGTTTTATGATACAGGGGTACCAAGTGACAGCACTAGGATCCCGCTTCCTCTATCAAGGAATAAACAATTGAAATTTAAATTGAAAAAAAAAACATTCAAATAATGTGACGTAGCGAACCTAAATGACCCTAGAGCGGGCACAGTCACGTATGCATCGCGTATTCTTATAGATTGTGCTGCCAGGCGTACGTTATCTAGAGAATTTAGTCAATATTGTACAATAACAATGGACCTAAGTGCAAACCTGTATTGTACATGTACTAAATGATTACGGTACTAAAATTGTTATGTCTATTGCAAATATAGCTTGTTAATACAGGTATTCAAATAAATTACTATCTTACAAGAATCCAAGCTATGTAAGTTATATTCACCCAGGTCGTTTGGGTGGCAAATTATGAGAAGAGCTTAGTCACTCTTAACTAATGATAAATAAACACCCAGGCCTTCAGCGCCAACTGTCAAATCTTATCGCAAATAAATAAAGACACTCTGTCACCTCACCTCACGCTCGGCTGGCTACCTCCCTCCCTGTGTTCCCAGACAAAAGATTGGTGATTTCTTTATGTTTATAATATCTCAGACTAAAGTTAGGATAATATAATTTGCATTGCTGAAATCCTTGCAAGACAGAGAATAATTTAAATATAAGTGTCATATATTTTGCTGAAGATATAAAAAATGTAGTGCATTAGTGTACAATACTGTAGTACATTTTATAAAAAGTTTTTCAACCGTATTCTTGGGTAGATTTACATAAATTTCTTCATTTATTTTCATCCATTTACATGCACACACCATACTAAGAGAAATATAAAAGAAATAAATGACCTTAGTGCAAAGCTGGAGTGCACATGTACTAATTTGATTACGGTACTAAAATTGTTATGTCTAGTGCGAATTACAACATGTTTATATTCAAATAAATCAGTATCTTACAAGAATCCCAGTGTAGTGATGGGTTGTCAGACCACAGCTTACATCTCAGAAACAGTCCAGACTTGACCCGGCATTAGGAGGGTCAAGTGTAGGGTAACTCTCGCGGCTGACCAAGGGTTATAAATCAACCAGGCTCCCCTCCCATTTCACACGGCCCCAACAAACATGTAAGAAGGCACCTGCCGACTCTCTTCCAATATACACAATAACCTACATCGCAGAAGAAGTCCAGACCTGACCTCACATTAGCCAGGTCAAATGTAACCCTCGAGCCTGAGTCAAGGGGCCACAAATCAACCAGGGCCTCTCATGTCACACGGCCCCACCTGAAGATTTCTCCAGAATATACAACTTATAGTCTCTGAAAAGGTCTAGACCTGACCCTACATTAGCGAGGGCAAATGTAAGGAGACCCTTCGCCGCCCCCCCGCCGATCCAGGACGCCTCTACCTCCTAGTCCTGAAGTGTCCTCTGCCCAGAGAGAGAGAGAGAGGGTGTGTCTTGTAACCAAGAAGGGCCAGCTACCATGTCCCGAGTCCCTTCGTGCCCCCTCCCTCAGGGAGGCGGCGAGAGTGAGACAGAGACACACAGGGATCGGAGGTCCACCACAGCCCAGTCCCGCTCAGGAGGTCATGCAGACTTCCTCCCGACTTCCTCTGTCCCAGCTAAGCAGTCGCCCTCCCGACACCAGTGTTCCAGCTAAGCAGTCTCCCTGCTAGGCCTTCCCCAGGTCACGTGAGTGTTTGTCAGAGCTTTCCATGGGATGAGTTACCTACGTGGGAAGTGTATTCATTTCATGTTCGTGTCCGAGAATCAGTGTCTAGTAACGTAATATGATGTCCTAGTAACGTAAATATAATGTCCTAGTAACTTCAATAGAAGGTGTTATTAATGTGTCCATGTCATGTTCGTAATTAATAAAGAGTTGTAACGAAGCGGTGTTTGAGAAGTCGCCCTTAAGACGTAATAAATGTGTATTGACGTATAAGATACGATAAGTGTAAGTTCAGTTCAAATAACTATCACGGCCACGCTACCTAAAGTCTTTCTCTCTTTTACTCTCTTACTAAATATTCTTTCTATATATATATATATATATATATATATATATATATATATATATATATATATATATATATATATATATATATATATATATATAAATATTCTTCATGCAAGATCTGTTTTGTTATAGGTGACAGCGAACTATACATTAACCCACGCCCTCCTCGTCTCATTCCAATGGTGGCAGCGCACTTAACGTAAAACTCACGCCTCTTCCCTTTAGTGTTCAGTACAGTGATAGTTAGAATCTTTTGAAGTAATCTCGTAACTATCTTGACGAAGCAGGCAGTACAAGGGTGGTTGCATTCGTAACATTATATTGGTGAAAGCGGTGTCTCATTATATTGGTGGCAGCGTACTATAACGTTAACTCACGCCCTCCTTGTCTGTGAGGGAACTACTACACCACGTGAGGTCCCTCCTAACACCATCTGGGAGGGAGTTACTACACTACGTTTTTGCTGTTCAACACCTACAATAATCTGTATGTTCACTGTATGTTCCTTTACCTTTCTCTAATGAAGGCTTTTGTTAAACCACCAATGTATGTAATAAGTCATTTATGTCCAATGTATATTTTCAGCCTTCGGGCTGCAGAACTTTTTCAATAAACCGTCAATTATTATTATTATTATTATTATACCAGCAATGTTACTTATATTCTCCTAGGTCATATCACTGGCATTTTAAAATGAGAGAAGCTTAGTAGGACTGTGAAATAAACACACAGAGACCTTCGGCTCAAACTTATCACCTCAACCCACCACATCCCCCCAACCCCTCACTGACTGGCTGGCTCCCTCCCTCCCTCCCCCCCAGCCAGGGTTTTAGGCTTACAGTTTTTATCTTATATAATATCTCAGACTAAAGTTAGGAGATTATAATTTGCATTGCTGGAATCCTTGCAAGACAGCCAATAATTTGAATATAAACGTCATATATTTTGCTCAAAAGATAAAAATTGTTGTACATTAGTGTACAGTACTGTAGTACATTTTATAAAAAAGTTTTTCAACTGTATTTTTGGGTAGATTTACATAGATTTCTTCATTTATTTTCATCCATTTACATGCACACACCATACTAAAAGAAACGTAATAGAAATAAATGACCTTAGTGCAAAGCTGGAGTGCACATGTACTAATTTGATTACGGTACTAAAATTGTTTTGTCTAGTGCAAATTATAGCATGCTTATATTCAAATTAATCAGTATGTTACAAGAATCCCAGCAATGTTAATTATATTCACCTAGGTCATTTCACTGGCTTTTTATAAGAGAGAAGCTTAGTCACTTAAGAACTGATAAATATACACACGTTAGACCTGGGCCTGTGCCAACTGTCAAATGTACTACCTCCCCTACCCCCACGCCCCCTCCCCCCCCTCTCTCTCCCCCATCTGACCGGCGTTGCTGGAATCCTTGTAAAACAGTGAATAATTTTAATATAAACGTCATGTATTTTGCACATGAGATAAAAATTAATCACCTGTATCACATTACAGTAGTGATTTAAGAGTAAAAGTGTATATGTACGTATATAGTATTCCACATACACGTAAGTATAAATACAGTCAACCCTCGATAATTCGGACTAATGGGGGGGGGTGTCCGTTTTAGCTGATTGTCCGAATTAACCGATTTAGGTTAGGTTAGGTTAGGAAATATAGTACCGTATATACACTGTACGCTGAACATGATACACAGTAACAAAAATACAGGAAATACTGTACTGTAAACATCATATAACTAGCTATATAAAACATTACAATATGTTAATTTCATTTACCTTTGGTAGATGACAGATAAGCTTGATGTGGTGGAGGAGGGGGGTAGAGGTGATAACGTGTTATTCGGAGTCAGTAGAGTTATGATGCTCCACTGGTCCTTGTCCCCCACTCGTAGAAGGCTGAGGTGACTGAGGATGGCCTGAGTCAGCAGCAGGAGGGTCATCAATATCGTCAGCAGACTCAACAGTTGCAGCAGGGTTGGGATGAACTGGCTTGAAGAATGTCTAGTTTCAGTTGTTTATCTTGATGATGCTGCCTCTGGATAATGAGTTCCCTAACGGCTCTAATATGTTGATAGTAATGCTGAATATCATCAGTTTCTGCTGACAAATCAATGTACGAAATGACATTATCAGTGGATTCTCGTATAACAGAGAGTTTGGGTTTGTTGGGTAATGGTTCTTCGTCTTCCTCATCTTCACTATCTCTGCTGTCACCAACGAGAACTTCATCCGCTATTTCTTCTTCCGTTAAGAATTGGTATCCAGGGTCACCCTCTGTGTCTTCTAGCCAGTTTCTGATGTCGTCTTCTGTGACATCATTTTCGCCCGCCCTCTTAAGGATATGATGAAAGTCCCTTGCCTCGAATCCTTCGAAATCATATTCTACCTCCACATTGTACAGAAGTTTTTTCCAAGCATTGACTAGAGTGGTAGTCTTCAGTGTCTTCCATGAAGCTGCTAAGTTGAATATTGCAGACTTGAGGTTGTAGTTCTTGACGTTATTAACAGTTCTTTGTCCTCGTGTGTCTTCCGTAAGATCTTCATCTTCTTCTATAAACGCAAGAACATCGTCCAGATATCTTCGTTGGTATATTCTCTTGCAGGCTACAATTATACCCTGATCCATTGGCTGGATCAGGGAGGTAACATTGGGTGGCAAGAACATGCATCTTATTTTACCATCATTACTGACAAGCATGTCAGCACCTGGGTGAGCAGGTGCGTTGTCCAAAATTAGTAGCGCCTTCGCCTCAGCATATCAAGAAGCGCTCAACACACTGACCCTTTCGACTCTCACTGACCATCACCACGACCTCATCTGCAAATTTGGTAAGAAGCTTCGACACCATCCTCGACACCGGCTCCTACTACCACCTGAGATCCCTAGCCCGAGAATTGCTGTTCGACACCACAACCGCATCCAGCCCATACGTGCACGAACTGATCGCTATAAGAACAGCCCAGTCCCAACCATTGTAAAAATTATCAATAACTTGTAATAAACCAATGTATTCACTCCCAGTAAACACTACTCCTTGCACTGTCACTATGTTGAAATGAACTGTAGTTTGAGCTTTTCCCCATCTAGTTATTATATATCTTATTTGTATCACTTGTGTTACTTGTATATTATTTGTAATTCGAAACCCATTCCCCAAATATGTAACTGTATATTTTCAGCCTTCTGGCTGCCAAGCTCTTTCAATAAACCGTTAATTATTATTATTATTATTAAGTTTGAGGACATCTTGATTTTTCGCACTGCAAGAATGAAATGCGAGAAAAACCAATCACTAAAGATTTGCATGTTGAACCACGATTTCTTGGAGTGGTAATAATGCACTGGTAGATGGTGCATCATGTCTTTCAAAATACGCGGGCGTGCTGACTTCCCCACCACCATTAACTTTAAACGGTGCATACCGTCTGCATTCGCACAAAACAATGCCGAAAATCGTTCCTTACTTACTTTACGACCAGGTGAGGAGGCTTCATTCTTGAAAGCTTGGGTATTCCGGGGTAGGGACCGCCAATACAACCCAGTTTCATCTACATTATAGACTTGGGAAATCAGGAGCCCTTCACTCTTAATTAAGTCATTTAGCCTGTCCCTGAATGGTTCGATGTCCTCGGTGGGTGCGCTACCAGCTTCACCATGCGTAATTTTATTACACTTTCCATGGCGATTTCTAAATCGCCATAACCACCCGTCACTAGCTTCGAAATTCTCGATGCCCATATGACTTGATAGCTTAACAGCAGCAGCTTGTATTTCTACACCACGGACGTCATTACCACAGGATCGTTGCTGCACAAACCACTTCGTCACTGCCTCCTCAAGATTTGTATCTTTTGCCACTCTCATACGCTTCCTTGCACCAACAGATGATGATTTAGAAGTTGCATCAACATTACGTTTCAAAGAAAATGCAATGAGTTTGTCCTTAGCCTTGCGTATGTCCGAAACTGTTTGCTTTTTAACACCATACTCATCACAAACTCTAGACACCGAAGCACCAGCCTCTAACTTCCTTATAAGTTCCAGTTTCTGGTTCACAGAAAGGGTCACATACTTCCTCTTCGGCGTTTTACTCCCCCTTGAAGACATGATGTAAATTACAAGGCTGAAAAATGCCTAATTACTGCAATATCAACGAAAATTGCAGGGCATCACAACACTGATACTCGAATATGGCGCTAGGTCAACAATGACTGGCGTGACTCACGCGTGCACAAGGCCGCCGCATGACCCATCTATTGGACAATCTCAGAACCATAAATTTGATATGGACTCGTCTATAACCCTCCCTCGTTTATAGGTCGACCCTGATTTTTTTACCCAAAAATCGTTAATTTATGATATTCCTTGTTTATAGGTCGACCCAAGTTTTGGAGGGTATTGGAACATGAAAACCTTCAGTAAAAACACTCTACGTCCTATAAACTGAGGCTCGCCGTGCCTGAAACACTGAGTATTTTAACCGAAAACTATTAAAAAAACGAATAACATCTCAAGAACATCGGAAGCTTAGGTAAAGTCTTTTGTTTTCGTCATGTATTTTATCCTATTTTACATTGAAATACATCACGTTTCAGCAAAACTACTATTTATTTCCGAGAATATATTCATTCAGGCACAGTTAAGGTAAAATATACATGTGATGTAACAGTTTTTTAACTGAAAACGATTCGAAAAACACGTACGCTCTAGCCCTGTTCAAGGAGAGGATTGGGAGGAGCTGTTTGGTGCTGCAGACGATGACAAGGAAAATGATTTGGATGGATTTTAATGAAAATATTCAGAAATATGGTATCGTAGTATTTATTCAAGTCAATTAGGATAGAATATTATTGTAATACAACAGTTTTTAACTGAAAACCAATCGAAAAGTGATTACGGTAACATCTTTTGAACGAAAGAACGCGAGTCATTGTTTTCGTCACGATTTCATCCCACTTTCCACTGTAATACGTACGTCATTTCAGCAAAAATATTACATTTCCGTGAATGCTTTACATCACGCACAGTATGAATAGAATACCATTGTAATATAACAGTATTTTAACCAAAAACTATTAAAAAAACGAGTAACTTCTCTTGAACATCGGAAGGTTCGGTAAAATCTTTTGATTTCATCATGTATTTTATCCTATTTTACATTAAAATACATCACGTTTCAGCAAAACTTATATTTATTTCCGAGAATATATTCATTCAGGCACAATTAAGGTAAAATATACATGTGATGTAACAGATTTTTAACTGAAAACGATTCGAAAAACACGTGTAGGCTACCGTCTAGCTGATACTCAACAGCTGGTGGTACATCATGTGTCGTTGTAAACAATAGGAGGTTGAAGTAGATTACCGGGTATTATATTAAGTGTGAAATATCGAAAAGGTTTTTATTACCGGTATTTTTTGTAGATCAATGAGAACTGTGATACCGTATGTGATATGATAAGTTAGCCTGTGCTAAGAACTTCAACATAGACTACTGAAATCACGTTGTAAGGTAATTTAGCCTATTGTAAGTTGGTGAGCTTCATTTGCTGAAGGAACTGGACAACTTTTCATTACTAATTGGTACATATTTTACATTTCCATTGTTTACTGGCAGTAAATGGTAAATATTTTTCATGTCTGAAGCTAAAAGTTGCATCCCCCCCCCACACTAGTGGTGGTGATGTTGCATTTAACCAAAAAGACGCTGGTGTTTTATCCCAGCAGTGGGTGGACCAGCATATTAGCTTAAGGTCTGCGTAGGTATTATGCCTTATAAAAAAAAAAAAAAAAAAGTTCAGATTTTGTCCGAATTATCCAAAATCCGGATTAAAGGGGTCCGAATTAATGAGGGTCGACTGTACAAAGTTTCTGTGATGATCGGACAACGTCCATTTCCTAACGTCATGTTTCCAAGAACATATCTAGGACGTTAACCGGCGCATGACTGTACTTAAAAACATGAAGAATCTATTTTTTATTCTTCATTTACAGTTAACAATTTTATACTTTATTTATTTTAGCATCAGGTTGGAAAATGAAACCAAATCAGAATCTCATCTCTATCTTGGGATCACCGAACAAGTCTACAAGCTTTTTCCTTCACGCAGTTCACTATAATAATATTTTTATAATTATCAACATAAATAAATTACATACTCAGAATAAATAGAAAGTCTCACATATGTATTTTAAGAAGAATATTTATATATTATTTTCTAAAAGTAACAAAGAAATTACATATTCAATAAACACAGAAATAACAACAAAACCTGTTGACCAGATAACACGTGTTGTGGCTGACCTCGTCCTTCTTGTCTCTCTGGAAGGCACCGTTGAGGTACTCGTTCGGCCGCTGCATCACAAACGTCTGTAAGGAACGAAGACATAAGTGTTGGTCTATTATTCAGGGAAACTAATACAGTAAATTCTCCATATAACAGATTTTATTTATATATATTTTGTAAGATGGAAGTTTCACATGTAATAGACCCTGGGTATAAGGGATTTCGTTTCTATAAACAGTACAGCTCCTCCCCGACTTACGACCTACCCGACCTATGTCCACCGGCATTTACGACCTGCTCAGTCCGTAACGACCATCCGCCATACGACTGCCCCAGTCGGTACCAAAATTTTTTTCAAATGACGCGCGGGTTTCCTATACCAAAACGTTTCTGTCCCATAAGAGAGCATGGCTGGCTTGGGTCACATGTGGTGTAGAGGATGTGTTGTAGTGGATGTGGTGTAGAGGATGTGTTGTAGAGGATGTGTTATAGAGGATATGTTGTAGTGGATGTGTTGTAGTGTATGTGGTGTAGAGGATGTGTTGTAGAGGATGTGTTGTAGTGGATGTGGTGTAGTGGATGTGGTGTAGAGGATGTGTTGTAGTGGATGTGGTGTAGAGGATGTGTTGTAGAGGATGTGGTGTAGTGGATGTGTTGTGGTGTATGTGATGTAGAGGGATGTGTTGTAAGGGGATGTGTTGCCAGTGGATGTGGTGTGGGGATGTGTTGTGGTGGATGTGGTGTAGAGGATGTGTTGTAGAGGATTTGTTTGTAGTGGATGTGGTGTGGGGATGTGTTTGTGGTGGATGTGGTGTGGGGATGTGTTGTAGAGGGATGTGTTGTAGAGGGATGTGTTGTAGTGGATGTGGTGTATTGGATGTGGTGTAGAGGATGTGTTGTAGAGGGATGGTGTAGAGGATGTGTTGTAGAGATGTTTTAGTGGATGTGGTGTAGGGAGTGTGTTGTAGTGTATGTGTGGGATGTGTTGTAGAGGATGTGTTGTAGTGGATGTGTTGTAGAGGATGTGGTGTAGAGGATGTGTTGTAGAGGATGTGTTGTAGTGGATGTGGTGTAGAGGATGTGGTGTAGAGGATGTGTTGTAGTGGATGTGTTGTAGTGGATGTGTTGTAGAGGATGTGTTGTAGAGGATGTGTTGTAGAGGATGTGTTGTAGAGGATGTGTTGTAGAGGATGTGTTGTAGAGGATGTGTTGTAGTGGATGTGGTGTAGAGGATGTGGTGTAGAGGATGTGTTGTAGTGGATGTGTTGTAGAGGATGTGGTGTAGTGGGTTTAGGTATGTGGTGTAGAGGATGTGTTGTAGTGTGAGGTAGAGGATGTGTTGTAGTGGATGTGGTGAGGATGTGTTGTAGTGGATGTGGAGAGGATGTGGTAGAGGATGTCTAGAGTGGATGTGTTGAGAGGATGTGTTGTAGTGGATGTGGTGTAGAGGATGGTAAGGATGGGAGGATGTGTTGTAGTGGATGTGTTGTAGTGATGTGGTGTAGAGGATTTGTTGTAGTGGATGTATTGTAGTGTATGTGGTGTAGAGGATTTGTTGTAGAGGATGTGTTGTAGTGGATGGTAGTGGATGTGGTGTAGAGGATGTGTTGTAGTGATGGTAGAGGATGTATTGTAGTGGATGTGGTTGAATTGTGGGCAGAGGATGTGTTGTAGAGTGATGTTGTAGAGGATGTGTTGTAGTGGATGTGGTGTAGAGGATGTCAGAGGATACAGTGTAGAAAGATGTGGTGGGATGTGGTGTAGAGGATGTGTTGTAGAGATGTGGTGTAGAGGATGTGTTGTCGGATGTCCAGTGGATGTTGTAGAGGATGTGTTATAGAGGATGTGGTGTAGAGAATGTGTTGTAGAGGATCTTTGTCGTGGATGTGGTGTAGAGGATGTTGTAGTGGATGTGTTGTAGAGGATGTGGTGTAGAGGATGCGGTGTAGAGGATGTTGTAGTGGATGTTGTAGTGGATGTGTTGTGGATGTGTTAAAGGATGTGGTGTAGAGGATGTTTTGTAGTGGATGGTGTAGAGGATGGTGTAGAGGATGTTATAGAGGATGTATTGTAGTGATGTGGTGTGTAGAGGATGTGTTGTAGAGATGTGTTGTAGAGAGTGTTGTAGTGGATGTGTAGAGGATGTGTGTAGTGATGTGTTGAGGATGTGTTGTACTGGATGTGTTGTAGAATGGAGAGATGTGTTGTAGTGGATGTGTTGTAGTGAATGTCGCGTAGAGGATGTGTTGTAGTGGATGGTGTAGAGGATGTGTTGTAGAGGATGTGTTGTAGTGGATATGTTCTAGTGTATGTGGTGTAGAGGATGTGCAGTGGATGGTGTAGAGGATTTGTTGTAGTGGATGTTGTGGTGGATGTGGTGTAGAGGATGGTGCAGAGGATGTGCAGAGGATGTGGTGTGAGGATGTGTTGTAGAGGATGTGTTGTAGTGGATGGTGTGTAGAGGATGTGTTGTAGAGGATGTTGTAGAGGATGTGTTGTAGTGGATGTCGTAGAGGATGTGGTGTAGAGGATGTGTTGTAGTGGATGTTGTAGTGGATGTGTTGTATTGATGTGTTAGAGGATGTGGTGTAGAGGATGTGTTGTAGGATGTTTTAGTGATGTGGAGAGGATGGTGTAGAAGATGTTGTAGTGGATGTGTTGTAGAGGATTTGTGTAGAGGATGCGATGTAGAGGATGTGTTAGTGGATGTGTTGCAGTGGATGTGTTGTAGAGGATGTGTTGTAGAGGATATAGTGTAGAGAATGTGGTGTAGTGGATGGTGTAGAGGATGTTGTAGTGGATGTGGTGTAGATGTATTGTAGTGATGTGGTGTAGGGTTGGTGTAGAGGATGTGTTGTAGAGGATGTGTTGTAGAGGATGTGTTGTAGTGGATGGGTGTAGAGGATGTGGTGTAGAGGATGTGTTGTAGAGGATGGTGTAGAGGATGGTGTAGATGATGTGTTGTAGTGGATGTGGTGTAGAGGATGTTGTAGAGGATGTGGTGTAGAGGATGTGTTGCCGTGGATGTGTTCTAGTGGATGTGTTGTAGTGGTCTGTTATAAAGGATGTGGTGTAGAGGATGTGTTGTAGTGGATGGTGTAAGTGAGGTAGAGGATGTGTTATAGATGTATTGTAGTGGATGTGGTGTAGAGGATGTGTTGTAGAGGATGTGGTAGTGGATGTGTTGTAGTGGATGGTGTAGAGGATGTGTTGTAGTGGATGTGTTGTAGAGGATGGGGTGTAGTGGATGTGGTGTTTGGATGGGTAGAGGATGTTGTAGAGGATGTGTTGTTGAGGATGTGTTGTAGTGGATGTGTTGTAGAGGATGTGGTGTAGAGGATGTGTTGTAGAGGATGTTGCAGTGGATGTGGTGTAGAGGATGTACTGTAGTGGATGTTGTAGAGATGTGTTGTAGTGGATGTGCTGTAGAGGATGGTGTAGTGGATGTGTTTTAGAGGAGTGTTGTAGAGTCATGTGTTGTAGTGGATGTGCTGTAGTGCATGTGATGTAGAGGATGTGATGGTGAGGATGTGGTAGAGGATGTGTAGTGTGACGTGTTTATAGAGGATATGTTGTAGTGGATGTGTTGTAGTGTTTGTGATGTAGAGGATGTGTTGTAGAGGATGTGTTATAGAGGATATGTTGTAGTGGATGTGTTGTAGTGTTTGTGATGTAGAGGATGTGTTGTAGTGGATGTGTTGTAGTGGATGTGTTGTAGTGGATGTGTTGTAGTGGATGCGGTGTAGAGGGATGTTGTAGTGGATGTGGTGTAGGGGATGTGTTGTACTGGATGTGTTGTAGGGGATGTGGTGTAGAGGATGTGTTGTAGAGGATGTGTTGTTGTGGATGTGTTGTAGTGGATGTGTTGTAGTGGATGTGGTGTGGGGATGTGTTGTAGTGAATGTGTTGTAGTGTATGTGATGTAGAGGATGTGTTGTAGTGGATGTGTTGTAGAGGGATGTGGTGTAGAGGGATGTTGTAGAGGATGTGTTGTTGTGGATGTGTTGTAGTGGATGTGTTGTAGTGGATGTGGTGTAGAGGATGTGTTGTAGTGGATGTGTTGTAGTGGATGTGTTGTAGTGGATGTGTTGTAGTGGATGTGGTGTAGAGGATGTGTTGTAGAGGATGTGTTGTAGTGGATGGATCAAGGAGAGGAAAGGGCAGTTGTACAAACCCTGCCCACAGGTAAGGTCGTGGTAGTTGGTGACAGCCAGGTGAGGTTTATGGATAGGGCTTTTTGTGCAAGAGATAGGAAACGTAGGACTAGGGTGTGTTTTCCTCGGGCTGGGATGGGCATGTAGCCGAGAGGTTAGACAGGGTTTTGTCAGGGGTACCAATCCAGTAGTGTGTCTTAGTGTGGGAGGAAACGACATAGGTAAGGTTAGGATGAGGAACTTTTCAAGAGGTATAGGGAGGCGCTGGGGAAGATTAGAGATAGGGAGGGATCCCGATAGTATGTAGTGTCTTGCCTAGAGGGTTGGTCGTGAATGGCTGTCCAGGGCAATTGCTATAAATTGCCGACTGGAAAAACATTATGCAAACAATGGTTGGGCATTCATTGATAACTAGCAACGATTCTATGGCAACGACTACCTGTACTGTCGCGACGGAGTACTTGTCTCGTGAGGTAAAGACGTTGTCTCACCCTGGGCGTGAAATATCTCAGGGGGTTGCCAGTAGAGAGGGTCAGGGAAGTAGGGAGTCAAAAACAGCAGGTCCTGGGAAGTAAATTAGTTGCTCAGGACAAGGGTAAAACAGGACCAGGGAAGAGTAGGTTTCAAATGTATACTATACAAATAGTAGGAGCGTTAGAAATAAAATAGACTTGCTGATACCGGTTGTATGTACCGAGAATGTAGACGTCTAGCAATCAAAACTTGGATGAATCTGGCGAGCAAAATTTTTATCAGAGTACCACATAGAAGGGTACAACCTTTTCAAAGGACAGGGAAGGTAGGAAGGGAGGGGTCACTCTTCGTCAAGGAGATGTGTTGTATTGGATGTGTTGTAGAGTATGTGTTGTAGAGGATATGGTGTAGAGGATGTGTTGTAGAGGATGTGTTGTAGTGGATGTTATGTGGGATGGGGCAAAGGATGTGGGTGTAGAGGATGTGTTGTAGAGGATGTGTTGTAGAGGATGTGTTGTAGAGGATGTTGTAGAGGATGTGTTGTAGAGGATGTGTTGTAGTGTGGATGTGGGTGTAGAGGATGTGGGTAAAGATGTGTTGTAGTGAGATGTGTTGTAGAGGATGTGGTGTAGAGGATATGGTGTAGAGGATGTGTTGTA